TTGCAGACTTTGAAATATTTCTCTTGCAAGCTTGTGCTAGCACCATTACTAGCTTGCACAAGCTCACCTAACTTGTTGCAAGCTTACTGCAAGCTTGTCATAAGCATACATTTTGGTTTGGGTATACTGGGGATAAATCATTCCTCTCACCCCTGGTGAGGTCAGATATATAAGATTCAAACAAACCATGGCAATCTAGTCTAGTTATTTATGACAGACCATACAAACCTAGTTTCACAGAATTAATGATTGGCTAATTGCCATTTAACACTGCACAGTGACATTAACTCAAGACTTGATCTAAATCATACAAATGAATTATTAGGACTTTATTTAAAGAGGGTAACTCAATTAGCTAAGAACTAATCTATCTTGAGGCCCTCATTCAAAGGAATTTATTTATTTTTGCTGCACCTCTGAAGCCATTGTATATACTGGGTTTGGAAAGAGGAAATAGTCGGCATTTCTAATCTCAACTGGAATACTATTCCAGAGTACAGTTCCAGAGTATTGGAAACTTTTTTAAAATAATTCCTTATTTGGTTTGGGAATTTTGTAATGTTTGGTTGACATTGATCACAGGTGGTGAGTATTTCCAGGTAGCCTATACTTGAATAGTGATTGTAAATATTCAGGAGCACTATTATTGGCTATCCTGTGCATTACTTTGGCTTTTCTTAAACAGATTCGGGCTTTAATAGGTAGTATTTTTAACTTACCAGCTAAATGAATGAAATTCCTTACACTACAGTATTTATAACAACTACACACAATAAAGTCATTATCATATGTAACCTCAGCAGGTAAGAGAATTCACATGGAATCTTGTAATGTCTACATTCCAACAATTCATCAATGTATTTAAATTTTAAAAAATATTGTAAAAATTCAGATAAATGAACTACTAAATGCAATTATTCTAGATACATAATTTCCTATATAGAATAAAGAATAAAGCATGAAATTATAGATACACTGTTTCCTGGTATAATCTAGACTATACCATTAACCCCTTGAGTTTTTTGTTGTGTTTGCCTGAAATGCGAGTAGGAAAATTGATTTGGGGAAGGGATATTTTTCAATACATCCTAATATATCTACTTCCAAGACATTTTCGGTTGACTTAATGCCTAATGCCTATTTGTGTTAGAAACATAGGTTTTCATTGGCTCTTTTGCATGAGCATGAGCAAAAGGGTAAAAATTGGAATTGTTATATTTTTTTTTTGCTTTACTTACCCTTTATTTTTTTTGCTTAACGGACCCAACCCATCAATTTCGTGCCGAGACCACTTTTCATTCTAAATGCCCATCTTATCCTACTTTTTGCAAAGGTTCACATGTCTGTGCAATTCAGACTGGTCTGTCTTAGATCTGAGGCCAAAAGGTCTAAAATCACAACCTTGGATGAATTTCAGCTTTGAAAAACTCTGGTCTAAAAAGTGGTTTTTCCTTCTGTATTTAGTAGTGCAACTAGAGCATCCATATTATTTAGTATCTTCGTAAGCTAAATCTGTCTCCCTTTCTATAATACCACCCACTTTATTGTGTCACACATGACCTTGACACTACAGAGCTCAGAAGTATGCTACCACCTCCTGCCCCAAAAATGAGGTGCTAGGGGCTAGTGAGTTAAGCCATCAATGTCTATAAAGAAACATATCATTGTGCAGACTCAGATAAAGAAACTCAACACAATTATACCATATCAAGAAAATTGATCTATGAATTTAAACAAATCCATACAAATACAAGCAAGTAAATCAAATTATCTTGGTGATATCAACACATTGCATGAGATTAGTGTAAATACCTTGTTTATAAGCTTTTTGGTGTCTGTCAATTCCTCCAGATAGTTATATCCCCAGGATGATTTTACAAGTGAATTTACTTATTAAATTAATTGGAGTCCCTTATGCTTGTTTTCTCTTGTAGAAAAGCGTAGACTGATTTTCAAAATCATCGTTATTAGCACCTTTAAAATGATAGATTTCATGTGAAACCTTGCTCTTTTCCACAGCCTATCCATTATATATAAAATAAAATTCCCACCTGCACTAGCCTTGAAACAGTGCAATTTGTTGGACATTGGTTACCCAACTGATTCCTGGTAGCTTTCAGAAATGACAGTTTCCAGACAGAATAGAATTTGACCTCAATTATAGTTAATTTAAACAAACTATCCCTTAATTAAATATTGATAACTTGTGACAGTCAGTATCAATCTGTACATTATGGCAATTTAGACTGGGCAGGTCTCCATAAATCTAATTAATTATACAAATGTCTAAATGTTTCTACAGAGATCATCAACAACAAAACAGAGATTGACATAAAAATTTGCTCTTTTACATAATCATCTCCTTAAGAGTAAAATCAGGGATTTTCACTCTCCAATTATTTGGAGATCTAACAATTAGAGGTCCTCAGATGAACCCTGCATTTCAAATGACCCTAGCCTACTAAAGCAATCAGCCCCTACATTCTCCTCACCTTTAACCCTTTCATCACTAAGTAACTTTGTAGACAGAGTCCTCAACACTAAGTAACTTTGGAGTTGTAAAGCAAAATGACTTGTGGACTTTGAAACAACATAACTTTGCCAATGTTAAAGATATCTGGCTGGATTAAGTGTCAAAATCAAGGTTAAAAATTAAATTTTATGACTAATTCAATAAAATATGCATATCTATTACAACTGTTAAAATGCAGGTACAAACAGGTAACCAACGTGGAGCGTACAATTCCTTTGGTTCAAACCTTCAAAGTCATCTTCATCGTCATCACTGTCACCCACAAGTGCATTCCATTGTCTCTCCATACATCTTCTCTCATTGTCAAACAAATTTATCAGGTCAGAATTATTTAAATCCTCCGAAAACTCTCCTCTAAAAATCCTTCAAACGCCGCCATTTTGGATACAAATTTCAGCATTTGGAAAACATGTTAAAAGTTCCTACTTTGTTCGTTATTTCTAGTCGTATATAAGCTAAACTCACGAGATAATCCAAATATAACATCTACATTACCAGATGGAAGTTATTAGAGGTACCCCGAAAGATATTTAGTCGGGTACTATAAAGTTAAAAAGAAACACTGCCCTAGACCGAAAACTTGGTCCATAGTGTTGACGGAGTAAATTCCCCTGACTTCATATGCGGTCTGCCATGATAAAAGGGTTAATATACTGTACCTTGACTTGGTATTGTTGAAGAAATAATGACCAAAGCATTATTCATCCATTGGTCAACTTGGTTTGAGCTAAATATGAGAGACATTGGTGGTCAGTTTCTAAAATAAATTTATGTCTATACATGTAGCGTTAGAATTTAGATATCCCAAAGACAATTTCCAAGTATTCTTTCTCAAAGACAGTAATTTGGTTCTTCGGTTAATTTCCTCCTACTGTAGGCAGTTGGGAATAAAGTTCCATTGTATTCTTTTAATAGCATTGCCTTTAAACCTCTATCACAAGTATCAGTATGGAATACTGAATCTTTCGTCAAAAATACCTTGACTTGGTATTGTTGAAGAAATAATGACCAAATCATTAATCATCCATTGGTCAACTTGGCTTGAGCTAAATATGAGCGACATTGGTGGTCAGTTTCTAAAATAAATTTATGTCTATACATGTAGTTTTAGAATTTAGATATCCCAAAGACAATTTCCAAGTATTCTTTCTCAAAGACAGTAATTTGGTTCTTCGGTTAATTTCCTCCTACTGTAGGCAGTTGGGAATAAAGTTCCATTGTATTCTTTTAATAGCACTGCCTTTAAACCTCTATCCCAAGTATCAGTATGGAATACTGAATCTTTCATCACATCAGGCAATCTCACTATTGCATCTGATGTCAGTCTGTCCTTCAATGTCTGAAATGCTCATTCACATGCATCTGTCCACTCAACTTTGGTCAGAGCCTTGAGTTCAAGTCAGTCAATGAGCTTGCAATAGCGATAAAGTTAGCAACATAGCACCAGCTAGTTCTAGGAAAGAGCAAACTTCTGTTTTAGTGGTCGGTTGTGCTGCATTTCTTAGTTGGACGACCTTTGAACTATCAGATGTTAATGTGTCTTTGATAAGGGTATGACCTAGATAGGATAGATTTCTAAACCCTGTTTGTGGAAGTTGCTCTAAAATGTTCTTCAGTAAGATATGTTCCCAAGTTGCTGTCACTAAAAGTAAATCATCCATGAAGTTTGAGACTCCATTCTCCCTTAACGTTTCAAGTAATTTCCAAATCATGGGTGTGAAAACCCCCAAGGCATTCTGGACCCTGAATAGCATGACTACCCACAGGTAGGTTCCATCTGTAATTGCAAAGGCAAGTTTTGCTCCCTCTTCATTCTAACTGGAATTTTTCAATACTCTTTGGACAAATCATCTTCGAAAAGTATTTTGCTTTGGTCGCCCCTGCTTTGAGTGTTTATGAGAGAATCGAGGGCACCAACCACCATTACTTACATGCTATGATATACCATTGCATATGAAAGCATTGACATACCTTGTGAGTGTATAATCTTAATGTACATTTATTAAATGTATTACTGCCTTTGTTTATTAAAACCTCAATTTTTGATTACTAAATTTATGAGCCTAAAAGACGATCACCAATTTAAGCTTTTGTGGATGCCACATTTGGGATCACTGGTTTAGATCTCATTGGACAAGGAAATTAAGACACCTGTTAATTAATTGTTAGTGCCTAAGAATCATTTTGATGAAAAGGACAATTATGCATGCATATGATTTGACACAAGTTTGATAAGCATTGCTCAGTATAGTTTTAATCCATTGCATCTTTTCTTGATGTTTCAAAAGACTTCCATGTTATCATATAAACTATTAAGAAAAATAGTGCCAGAATTTTTGGTATTTATTTTGTATAATGGAGGGGTATGAACTCCTACGTTAATTTTAATAAAATTGATGTTTTGTGGTGTCTTGTGTTGATATACCTTCATTTTCAAGGGAGTATCATGTTATACTATTCCACTGATGACTTGACCGCTCTGGTGGCTTTGTAGTTTTAGTGCATGTCTTGGATGCAGGAGGTCACAGGTTTGAATCCTGGCCAAGTCATACCAAATACTTATAAAATGGTTCAAGCAGTTGCCTCTATTGGCACTCGCCCATTAACTCATTAACCTTTTCCCTCATAGAGTGTATGGCTTTTTAGCCCTTTGATGCGCATGTAGCAAAGTTACACATTGCAATCTGCTACTCATAGGCCTGTTAAGCAGTGACATATATGTTACGTTTAACAGCAATTTTAACCATTTTATGTTTTTGGTACACATATATTATGTATGGAATGATTTAAGAGTAATATAAGGTCATTATAGCTGTATAATTATTTTTAAGAAAAGAATTTGTATGTACTTTAAAATCTTGAGAGAACTCATTCACTATCAAATCAGTCAATCTGTGTGATCAATGGTAGCTGCAAATTTACATACTCAAAATTTACAAGTTCTTTGTCTTCGTCTACATTACAAAATCAGTGTAATTTGATAATTTATAAAAACTAATGGCTTCCTACCTCAGTCTCAGAGCCTTTCCCCAAGTTATTGAAGCTTTCATAGTTGTGATTCTACTGGTTCAAGTACTGAATGATATCAGAGACTGTCAAATGGAGAATATGACCCAGTTATGACCTTCTTACTTTAAATAGCGGATTGCATAATGGTCATTCTCACTAATGAATGTAGTATCTAACGGGTTTTTCCCCAAAGGTGGCGAAACAAAAACCCACTCAAAATAGTTATTGTTTACAGAGTTGCCAAAAGCCGCCTAGTGTGACATCAGGTAAATTGCCAAAAGGTGCTTATATTAGGTAAAGGGTTAACTCAACTAGTAACACTTTTCCTCCCTCATCTTCGGAGCACCTCGTTAGCGAGGCAGAGTTTACCTAGCTTGTATCGGGGGGGGGGGCGAGTTTGAGAGGCAGTATTTAGCATGGCTTATTTCCCACATGATGAGTTAAGTTGTAGCAAATGATTGGCTAATTCTAAGCCATTTCCTAATTATGCAGGCTGTTGAACTATTAAAATTGTAGCTTGCATAGACAGAGTAAACACTGATGAACACAGGAAAAAAAAAAATTGATTTTGATAGCAGCAGACATTGACCGGAATCAACTCTGACGGAGAATTTTAAGGATTTTTATCAGTTGAGATGGATAGTGACATTGAAATAGCCATTGATGATAACAGCGAACGTGATGAGAATGAGTTCAAATTTTATTGTGTTTTATTATATTGGTTTTAAATTTTCAATGAGAATTCTAAGGAAGAAAGGTAATGCAAGAGCAAGGAAAATATTTGCATCTTTGAACGGTATTCACAGGAGGTAAAGTTTACAAAAGAGATGACAAGTAGAATTTCTGTGTACATAAAATATAATTATTTTATGTGTTAATCATTATGTGTGTATTCCTAATAGATTTTATGGATTATTTATGGCAAGAGAAAGAAATTGATAAGTATATCATTTATTTTCACCTTTTTTCAAGAGTTTTATTTCTGCATGTAGCATGAAATTTATACCTTTTAATAAGTACATAATTTTATTAAGAAATATTGTTCGCCAAATTTTAGCCTAATTAAATTAATATAAATAAAATAATAAATTTACTGCAAATAAATCCTCTGGAAAAATATGCAAGCCAAGTGCAGTAAGTGTCAGGGATACAGGCACTGGTAAGACTAACACTGGTATAGGTGATCTCTGCAAGTATGCAGTAGGTGACTGCCTAGCTATTTGGCTGGGGTTAATGAGTTGAGAGGTTATTGTTAGGATTTGAGCCTGGTGTCTAGGTGAGACATGATGCTATGTCTGTAGCATGATGCCCCAGAGCTAGAAGACATCACTAAAAACTGCCACACTACAGACATCATAGTGACATAACTGAAAAATTTTAGGAGCTACATTAGTATAGATGCATTTAGGATAAAGAAAACTAAATGCCAAAGAGACTGGAGAGATTTGTATAATGAATCATTAAATTCACAATAAACTGAAAACAAAAACAATGTGACATAAATTATCTTTATGCATGTGGTGATTTGTTTTTAAACTCCTACCAGCTTTGTTTGGGCTGGGTATTTGCCATTTGGTTATCATTGTCTAGAGGTGATCACTGATGATGTAATTTGTTGGTCGGTGAAATGGATAAAGAACTGAGCAGGTATATAGAACAGATAAATCTGAGCCCCTGTTATGAATATAGAGAAAATATAATAAAAAAATATCTAGCAATACAGTTCAAAACAATGATAATAATAATAATAGTACAATATGATAGAAAGATAAACTTCTTCTTTTGACTTAGCTTCTTGCACAAATTTACGAATAAAAGAAATAATGAGACCAAGAGCCAATCTGTTATGGGATAGAATTTAAATCATTTTGATCACACTGAATATATCAAAGTCATTGCCTGGTACAGTTTTCGTAACCTGATAGTCTGGTTTCAGTCCGAATTCAACTCTGCTCCTTTTGATTCCCCTGCACTAGTAAGTCCAAGTCTCCTTCACTTTGACTTTCTTTCCAAATTAGCAGGTTTCGTCTTTCAACTTTGGGTCCATAAGACTTAATATGTTGAGCGTAGGCTTCAGAGCCATCTTGGCCCTTGCAAAATAACAATAAACAACTTAAATATTCTGTCATATTTTATTGGTCGCTTAAATCATTACCTTCCCCCTCTCATTAGGTCAGATAAATTATATCCTAAATTTAAACAGATTCTACGGCTGTCTAGTTTAACTGGCATAGACAGAATGTAAACAATCTCATTTCACAAAATTAATGGTCACAAAATGTTTTTTTAACACTCCTTATCAATACAATAGTTCCAGGCTGAACACAATTACATAAATGAATAAAATTCCCTGCTACTGTGTTCATAACACATGCACTCGAATATAGGTAAAAAAAAATTTTATATGGATTCTCCCATTTCAATTAAAATAAGGCACATATTTCTAAATACATAATTTTCACTAATAAATGAACTATAAGTTGAACAAGACATCAATGTTGTATAAAGAAAAATATCATTGTACAGACTTTGATAAATGAAATCACCATATGTATGCAATATAAGAAATTAAATCTACGAACTTAACAAATAAATTCATGAAAATACATTGAAATAAATCCTTCAAATCATCATAGTAATATCAATGAATTACTTAAGATTGTTGCAAATACCTTGTTTTTCCCAGACAATTCCATACCCTGGATGAATTTTAACAATTGATTCACTTATAAAACCCCTCAAAGTCTTATCTTTGTATATTCTTTCTCTTGTAGGACAAAGTGTGGACTAAATTTTAAAACTGATATTTGCACATTTAAACTGAAGTTTTCTGTGTGAAGCCACGCCCCCTTTATAGTGTAACCAATCAGAATTACAAAAGCTCCCACTTTTCTAAGCATCAAAACACTGCATTATGCCTCTCAACAAATTGCTACCAACTGGTTCCTTGACCATGTCTCTTCTGTCAGCTTTCAAGCAAAACCATAACTTGAACTCTGTTCCAGTAAGTTTAGGTAAACTAAGCCCTTAATTATAAATCAATAACTCCGACAATCAATCTGTACATTATGGCATTCTAAATGTGGCCATTCCCCTATAGATCTTGTTAATGGTACCTGTTTAACTGAATATGTTCTAGCACAATCAACAATACAAACAAAAGATTGACCTGAAAATTTTGTCCTTTACAATGCACCTGGTGTTGGACTGTGCAAGGGTTAATGAAATGGAAAGTACAATCCAGTCAAGGCAAATAAACCATGATATTTTCAAGAAATAAATAAAAATCATGTGGAAGATCCAGCACTTAATGATTTTGATCCTAAACATGCTGTTTAGAAATTTTTTAAAGATTAAGAAAAAGAATTATTGTAATATGCTGTATTTTAAAGATGAAATGTTAAAAAGTGAATTGAATATGGTCATTTGTTTTTTCTTCTGCATCTTGAAAATTTGATTAGCTATGAAATTGAAATTATTCTGATTAAATCAATTAATTTGAGATGAAAGTGTAACCATTTCCTTAATTTTTTTCTTGATGATCATGAAATTAAAAAATTGCATGCTAAGGGCATTGTAGTTTGTTATAGTTGTAAAATCACTTTCCATGGTACGTCCTTTAACTTAAAAATTGCATTGTCACTAACTTGTGTTGTGATGTCTTAAAGCACCAAATCACACTTAGAGGGAAAAAAAATAGATTTTTGGTCAAATAGTTAAAATTCAAGGTCATGGTAAATGTAATGAGAACATGGTGGTTTTAGCATACATTGTGCTTTTTCCATTCAGTAGGTTATTTCAGCATAAGACTAACAATGTCAAAGTGACTGCATGTTTCAATAAATTATGGTAAATTTGTAAAGATAATTATATTCTCATTGTAATGTCATTTTCAGTAGATTTATTTGTTCAGTACACTAATTCCTTGATAATATTTACTGTTAAATTGTGAACCTGCTAAAAAAAAAATGGTGTCTGGTATGGATCCCATGTATTTTTTTATTTATTTAATAAAATATTTAAAACATTGGCCCATATGTGTTGAATGTGAAGAAAATCACAATTAGAAATGGTAAATGAAATCATTATATATCCCATGCTTTATTATTGCAAATGGCAGTTAGTGCCCAAAATGTTGTAATCCACATTGTGTAATTTTTCCCACATTTCAATAAGAAATCATATATTTTGTTTTATTTTGGGAAAAATATTTTCTCAATTCACAGTATATAATATATGATTTTTTTCAATTATGAATAATTCTAGTAAATTCTAACAGATTGCAACTTTGAAAGAAATAAATACCAATTAAATGTCTAGTCAGGTGAAATTTGGGTTTCTGTCTTTTTACTGTTTCATTGTAAACACTATAATCATCACAGGTTCCATTTTGTTAAACAAGAAAAGAGTCTATCAGCTATGACATCAATTACCACAAGCAGTTCCTTGAAAACCTCAAGTGCCAGCAGTATTTCCACCAACTTGGGGAAGTGTTTGCTGCATTGTAAAAATTGATTGAAAGAGACAGGTCTTGTTTTAT